CAGTTGAATATTACGCAATTTGCATAAGCGAAGAATGTTTTATAAAATATTATTTCGGATTGAAGATGATAGAATGAATGTAGAATGAAGAGAATAGCTGTAGTATAATAATTAACGGCCTTCGATGCTTTAAATTCAAAACTCGCACGGTCTTAGCTAAAAACATACTGTTCAAAGCAGTTAAAAAATGTTTGCTCATAATGATTGGATTTATGAACAAAACTTAACTCAGGTTTCATAAGCTATTACGAAAGAAATATGACGTCATACCCACAAAAACGCTTCAAATATGCAAAGAATTCTCTTTGCTCTCACGCAAAATAAAATATTTTGCTTCAATGCAATTTATTTTTTCGTAATGACTTTTCTTGTTAAATTAGTAGTATTTCCTTAACTGGGAAAAAATCAGACTCTGTTTACATTTAACTGATTCTCTTTCTCTTTCTCTCAACTATTCTGCTTTACCATCCGTTATAATTAAATAGGTCGAATTTGACTGGCCTTTCTTATTCTAAGTTATAAATATCAGCATCTTAACAATTGAATTTCTAAATTAAAGTTCTGGGAAGAAATCAGAATATTAATTGAAACCCCAGTGCTTCTAATCAATATCGAATGTGTGGCATTTTTTGCGCTTATGATTTTAGTTTTTATGTTATTACCGTGTATGGATTTTTATCTTACTGGCTTTCGTACTATACTTGATTTACAGAAACCTTAGAACTTCTCATTTTCCTACCTGCTTAGCATTTGAATATGCTGTATTTCTGATAAATGCAACAAAATCATCTCAAAGAATTATTTTCCACCCAATGCAGCTTTAAAACTAGCTGCAAGTTTAAATACCCTTGTTTTAGACAAATGGTTTATTTAACCAATTATTGTTATCAAATCCCTAAGTTTAATATCCCTAAGTTAATTAGAAGTTTCTCTTCTCTATCTGGAACAGAGTGTAGGTTTTCTGGGCTAATATTTAAAATGCCCAGTTTCTGAAAGGAAGTTGGTGACTCCCAAAGTGTGAGTCGCAGTTGATCAGAGATGTGTCATTCGAAAGCTATAAATAACCTTTTCCTCTGCTCTCTGACGTCCCAATGAAAGTGACGGGTCACGTGAGTGTCCTTTAAGCAGTTAGAATTTGAAGGCCGCCTCCATTTCCTGTCGTAGTGTTGGCAGGCAATCAAGGGTTACCAAGTATTTGCTCATCAAAATCGAACTACTGCAGACTTAACAAAAAATATAGTTTTTTTCCCAGTAAAGAACAGCATTTTGTGATTTATAGATCTTATTGAATCGAAACTGCTAAAAAATGAGTAATAATAAAATATTAACCATAATTTGCTTTTTTACCATTATGTCTTTAGAGATGCCTTACTTGAAACGCCATTTAAAACGCGTTTGATACATCACAAGACAGTTTATAGTTTTTCTACAATAGTTTTTCTATTAGATGTAGCGCTTTAGATAGTATCTGTCGTATACTATCTAAAGCGCTGCATCTAATGGAAGTCTAATGAATAACACAGACAAAAACTGCCTAGCACAATTCACTTAGGGGGAAAACTATAAACGAATATGAATTAAATTTTATAAATAATAAATGTTCACAGTATGATCGGCTGATGATCTCACTCTGCCTGAGGCCCCACCAGTGTTCGTTTGGTCTATGTGTAGAGTGAATACTAGCTGACCTTAGAAAGTCCTCCATGAAAGCATCCCTACTGTTAGGCAGATAGCATTCGTAGAGCTGCATCTTATCAGAAACAATGAAATTTTCAGTAGTTTTCGATCAGTTTTCTGTTAAAAATCCATCATTTCCTGAGCCAAAATATAGTAGTTCCCTTTTATGTTTGAAGTTACAATTGTTGCAGAATTTGCAATTTATTGCTTTATTACGTAGGTTTGCGTCATACACCTATATCTTAATTTTTACATATAATTTGTGTCATTTTATATTATCTTAAAATTATTCGTATAGAAGAAACCTAGTTCTCTATTTTTTTTTAAATATAAGACTCGGTATAAAATCTTTTTATAATACTTGATATTATTCTTTTATTATTAAGTATCCAATATTTCAAACAACTGATTTTAATTCAATTTCTATCAAAACACTTGAATCATAATTCTAGAATTGTAAAATTATAAATTATTATAGTTTCTCACAAAGTTGCATCGATACTAATTTTTGGTATCATGTTTATTTTGTTTAATTTTTCACGTTAATGTCCAGGTCAAACTCTATATTTAACCTATTGCAAATATTGGCACGTATATCCATTGTGTTTCAAACATTTTATCTCCTTTAAAATGTAATTCATATATCTCAATGCAAATATTAGGGTAATTTAAAACAAAATGAATAAAAAAATTAGAAAAACAGAAATTACGTTATAATTATGTATAGGGTACTGTAATTTACAAACACTATTCTATGATGACTGTCGTTAGTTATTTTATTTTGAATTTATTGCATTAAGCTATCAACAGAAAAGCTTTTGAGTAAAGTCCCGCGTAGGAAAAAAAAGTAAATTTTATGATGTTTCTTTAAAATATACAGGATATTAGAAGCTTATAATTTTTTTAAGTGTTATTAATATAATTTATTACATTTTATGTTATTTTATTGCATTACATTAATGTGTCATTAACAGATGTGTTTGTGATTATCACTGAAAGAAAAGACGAAACGTTACATTACATTAAACTAGTGTTGTAAAAACTCTGATGCTCATATAAAAACTTATATTATATAAAACTCAATATGTAACTTTTTAGAAAAAAGGGGGGGAATTCATGTCAAAAAATTATCGTTTTTTTTTTTCACTTGATTCCCTTTGGTTACGAATAATTTCACTCACGTTACAACAGCTCGTTTAACATAATCAGTTTAATGTCTTTATAACTTCATAAATTTAATTGTAGCTTTTAAGGGGACTCATACACCTTAAAACCCATATGATGTTCGAATAGGTGACTGTTGCAAGAATTGGGATAACTTATTTATTTTAAAAGCAATTACTACCAACTTTTTACAGCTAATTACATAATATAGCTGCTTTCTGAAATAGTCATCAGAAAGTTTGTGTTGCCACAAATATTTTTATAATTTAATTCGCTTTGTGACAACATTTTTCGTCATGTTTCCAACTTGCGCGAAAGGTTTAAAACATTATGTTTCATAATTTAATTCCATATTTAATAATTTCATGTTAAATTTTTATTTTATTTTGAGTTGAGTTTATAAAATGTATTTTATTAAAAAAATTTGTAATGTTTTCGTTCATAAAATTTTTCAATATTAAAATATTCATCAGATTGTTGGTTCAGTTAGAAATAGTGCCCATATAAAGAATTCCATCCAATTTCAAGCATGTACCATTACCCATTTTTAAAATATCATGCGCGCAAGGTGGAAACATGGCGAAATATTTTGTCACAAGAGGATTAAATTAGAAAATATTTGTGGCAACACAAACTTTCTGGTTACTAGTTTCCAAAGCAGGTATATTATGTAGACAGCTGTAAAAAGTTGGAAGTAATTGCTTTTAAAATCAATAAAATATCCCAATTCTTGCAACAGTCACACATTCGAAGATCATAAGAGGTTTAACGTGTATGAGCCCCCTTAACTGTAGAGTCATTAGGTTATTTTGAAGCAGGAGACGTGAAAATTGTGCAGTGCTCTCGCCGGAACTCGAACCCTAAATCTCTCGAATACGCGTCGAGTATGCTTTCAATTACAGCATGAAGGCATGCGGAAAGGAGGGAGAAAATACTTTACATAATATTTTAAGTAAAAAAGGAAAAATAAAAAGAACAATTCATAAATACAATCACTTTCGCTTGCTGATGGTAGTGAAATATAACATAAAATGCTAGAAAGAATCTAGAAAATTTAATTATATTTTCCATTAAGATACAATAACACGTATCACACTTTGAATAGTTCTGCAGCCAAAATTTATTCAAAAAACATCTTCCTTTGGCGAATTAGATTTTCTAGAGGCATTTCACATTCAAAAAAATCTTTCTGTTCTAGTTAACGATCCTAATTCCAATCCGTCTTTGCCTTCAGCCTTTAAAGAAATTATGTTTTAGTTCTTGTTTCATCAACAGATGTCGCCAGTAGCTTAACTCCTGTTCGGTCTTTCTTATCTTATCTAATCACCATATCTTATCTTTTTCATTTGCGCTTTTGTAGCTGAGGATGTGAAATTCCGTAAAATAATCGAAACTATTCCTGTGAAAATTTGAAAATATATAATGCTGATTTTTGTTGTTTTTAAAAATTAAAATTAATGCTTTAAAAACGGTAAAGAAAAATACGAAGTTCGTAAAATTTTTTATATCTGTAAAATGTAAAATACCCCTAAAATTCATGAAAATAATCATAGAAACTTACAAAGCAATAACATTACAGCACCAGCTACAATTCTTACGTAACTTAATCCCGTAATAAACTTCAGTGAACAAATATTGCAAGAAAACGCAAACTGAAATCACTTTTGTCCCTTAACAATTTTTATTGCCATTTCTTAAAAATAAAATGCTGTTATAAATATAAAATATAATAAAAATTACAAGAAAAAGCACTCAATTTTTACTGGAAATGTGAGAAGCAAGTATTATTACAATAATTTCGATAAAATTAACATTCATTGTGCTGAAATAATAAAATTTCCTTACTTACTGTCATTTTATAAAAACCGTAAAGTTATGACTGAGCAAATATTCAGCAGCCATTGCGATGTAATATATTATAAATACATATAAACTAATTTAGTGAATAATGATTGGACTTATTAATTAAATGGTAAATTAGTACGATAACGAATTTGTCAAAGTTTTTTCAAATGAATGTTCGTCGCATGTATGTAAAAAGAATCCACTCACACAGTAAGCACGTGGTATTTAATTTCATTAGATAAATTGATGAATTACTTTGCATATTTTTATTAAAATTACTAATACTATATTAGCAACAGATAAGCTACTTTTTAAAAGCTCAGCTGTGCTTACCAAAAATTGATGCCGAACCATTTCTGGGAATTTTAACGATCACCTTCATCAATCACATAATTAAGTGAGTACTTTGACAACTTTTATAATATTATTATAGTGGAATGTAATTTATTATAGACACAGAATTAGACGGCAACTGTTAAAAGTGTATATGTTACCTGGAAAGACCGAAATTAGAGAATGTTGACTTTCACCGGAGAATGTCAACATTCACCAAATACGTCGGTGAAAGATCGAATATTGCATTACATTCTTGTACATTCGAAGCTTCACCAGTGTATGTCGACAATCACAGATATGCTCTGGTGTATGTCGAAAAGAGAGGAGTATATATACATGCTGTCATTGCAAAAGGAAGTGTTCTACAAATAAATGCATTTTTTAAAGCAAGGGCCTTTTGTGCAACTCAAAGTGTCATAGTAGTTTAAGTTGTTGCAATAAATAAGATTTGAATCACATAATTTAGTAAGTTTTAGTTTTTAACTACTATTATTTTAGTTTCTCATTTTGAATGTACTGTGTGTTTTAAGTTCTTATTTTAAGTCTCAAGTGCGTTTTATTAGAATATATAATATTCTTATATGTTCTTATATGTTATATATAAGAAAATATAATATTCTTATATGTTCAACATTCACCACTAGTACATGGTGAATGTCGAAATTTACCGGTATAAGTCAGAAATAAGAGTATTTGGAAAATATTTCGGACATATACCAAGCGACTATGTGAATGTCGACATTCTCCAGATTTCAGTGTTTCACTGTAACGTATAAATACCTTCAGAAATTTCTGCTCTGTGCTATCTTCCCTTGCAAGAATTTTTGTGAAGTTATGAAGCATACGTACTTCCTTGAGATACCATACAATCCCAGTAATAAGTATTTAATTACTCTATGAACGAATATGGTATCGTTGTTTTTGAGTCATTAATATCTTAGAGACTGATGGTGACTGTTGCAAAATATATAGTGTTATACGCTGTTAACTGCTGCAAAACAATCTGAAAAAAGATTATTCATTCGAAGCTTTGTTATTTGTTTGGATGTGAAAGCTACAGCATAATTGTCATGTAGCCATGAAGTTAATTTCATCCAATTACGTATTTTCTATCTTTTCCACTTTATTTTGAACAAGTAAAATATAGAAAATAGATTTATACGTTTTGTTGGATAGATATTAAATATCTTCTGTTCGTAATCGTATAGATCTACACAATTTTTAAATGTTATAAAAATATCATTAGTTAAGAAACAAGTAAAATATAGAAAATAGATTTATACGTTTTGGCGAATAGATATTAAATATCGGTACTTTTCCGTTTCGCCGGCGCAAATCTCGCCAAGCAGACTTTATTGGCGACAACATACAGTATACACATAAAAAATATTTAAAAAATGTTAGTTCTAAGAATTCTTTTTTGAAGGCATAAACATTTTAATATCGCTTAAAATTTTATAAAAAGCCAATAATAAAGACAATAAATTGTTAAAAAGACATTAATTTAAGAATTTACTATGGTTCAACATCCTGATCGCCGGTTCATATCACGTGACCCCAAGCGATCTCATCTCACGTAAAACTACTCTACAAAAATCTAATTCTCTCAGTAATTATCTACCATTAATTTCAAGTTAAATCTTATTTGGAACACAAGTTTAAATGCAAAAAATATTTCAATTCGTACGAATAGCTTACTCAGAATTATGCAAAACTGTAGTGCTTTACTTCGCATGCATTCTCATTAGAATCGATGAATTTAACCCTTGATTTACCTTTTCTATATTTCGGCTTCGGGGTAAGCGCTGTGATTGCATCCTAATTGACTTAATTACCGAAAATGGCCTTAGACATAAAACTGAACTATCTGATAAAAATTCTATATAATTATATGCCAGTATTGAAAGAAACAATCAATCTGATAAGAAAAAGCTGCGCCTTGTTTTGAAAATGAGGCGTAAAAGGTTACCAGCGAAAATATTCCGTTTGGCATCGGTTGCACCATTATTGGCGACTTTATCGCTTGCGCCGGCAAAACGGAAAAATACCTAAATATCTCCTGCTCGTAATCGTATAGATCTACACAATTTTTAAATGTTATAAAAATATCATTAGTTAAAAAACAAGTAAAATATAGAAAATAGATTTATACGTTTTGGTGGACAGATATTAAATATCTCCTGTTCCTAATCGTATAGATCTACACAATTTTTAAATGTTATAAAAATATCATTAGTTAAAAAACAAGTAAAATATAGAAAATAGATTTATACGTTTTGGTGGATAGATATTAAATATCTCATGTTCGTAATCGTATAGATCTACACAATTTTTAAATGTTATAAAAATATCATTAGTTAAAAAAGATCTTTAAATGATTATAAGGTATTTCTCCCACTTTCCTAGCGTTTCTTCGTGGTGTAGAGGTTCTGCACACTGGGTCAGTATTCCAGAGGTCGGTGGTTCGATTCCCGGCGAAGTCGTTGCTAATTTTTCATCTTGCCTACTTCCAAAAATTACCTAATGTCTCTAAGTGGCGCCCGAACTAAAAAAAGGTGTTGGATGAAGTTTCTCCGCACCCAGGATTTGACGATTGGGTACCCTGAATACCTCATTCGCCCTTTAAAAAGGGAAGTATATAAGGTATTTCTTCCACTTTCCTAGCGTGCCTTCGTGGTGTAGTGGTACACTGGGCCGGTATTCCAGAGGTCCGTGTTTCGATTCCCGGTAAAGGCGTTGCTAATTTTTCATCTATCTGTCTTCCAAAAAGTCCTAATGTCTCTACATGATTTTTAAAAATATATCATAATTAAGGTAACATTTTTATTCTTAGACTTCGCAAATACGAAAATAACCTTCGTAAGCCTTCGTAAATACAAAAATAATCGTAAATTTTAAAATTAGAGACAGGTTTAGAAGAGAAATATTAGATCAAAGAAGTTATTTAATGAGTATCAACTAGGCTACGATGTATTTTAAATAGCTAACATTCTTTCCCTGTTATTTTCATGTGCATTGATTATGCAATAATAGAGGGGGATGCAGACAGTACTATTCAATTTCAGATTATTGCGCATTTAAACATTAAGTACACGTAATGGTAAGCCGTGCATGGATATCGGGAGAATGTCTAAGCTGTTCTTACAAATATTCGTTATGAATTTCTCAGACAACACTTGAAAAGTCAATGTGATACGAAAACTTACTGCTAAACAATAGTTTATGCTATAAGGCTTCTATAAGTTTACGCTAGATGGCACAAATATATGATGTTTCACATACCTTCATAAAACGCAGTCAGAAGTAAAAGCAATTATGTCACAGAGGATAATACTTAAAGAGGCCAGCTGTTTGAAACCAAATTCTTTGTCGACTGTGCCTGTCTACCATCTTGCAAAATGACAATATGCAAAATTCTTTCTGTTGCTTAGATTTCTTTTTCTCTCTTTTTTTTTTCATTTAGAATATTTGAAACGAGAAACTAAAGCCCTTCGTTCTTTATGTACTAAAAGGTAGATATTTTTGTTTTACATGCATAGCTTTAATAATTTTTAAGAATATTAAATTTTGCATATTCTTCAGTTATCGTTTTAAAAAATGTATGTATTATGCATGTATGTATGTATGTGCGTATGTACGTGTGTATACATACACATACATGGATACATGCACACATACATCCATATATGCATGGATACGTTTCAGAATCCGGTCACGATAAGAGTAGAGTAACAAAAAATTTGAATTCGAATGGTTATTTCTATATTATGATAGATATCCCAGATTCAGAGCATTCTTTGTAGAATTATATATTTATTTATGCATGCGAAGTATAAATTTACCTTATTTTCCTACTCAGTACTTTGCATCAAAAATTATAGTCAATTTGATTTTTCAAATTTTAAAGTAACTGCTGGTTAGATAGTTAGCTTGGTTATTAAGAACGATAAACCTTAGAAACCCCATCTACTAAAGGCAAAAGATGTTTCGATAGAAATCTTTCTAAGTCAAAATGGCTTAAGTTTATGTTACATATGACAGGTGATTCACATCATATTACTTGTGGCCCCTTTAAATGCTAAAATGATTACGTTTCGCAGTATACTGTAGCAAAATATTTTCGGCGAATGTAATTCATCAACTGCATACTAGTCCGAAGTTTAATTTTGATTAAAAGTTCAGGAGAGCGTTTTATAGTATGGAAACTTTTCAGTTTCATATTTTGAATAACATTTCGGAATTCGCAAATGCTTATTCAGTTGTATATGTTTCAATTGTTGCGTTATATCTCCCATCCAAGACCGATGTTAAAGTAATTACACTTAAAAACAAAAGAATTAAGAATTTTAAAATGTTTCAATTAGATTTTATTTCAGAGGTCTGTTTAAACTGGCATGGATTTTAGTTAATAACATTTAGCACTGAATATGATTGGTTTACTTCCCCCCTTCTTTTTTTATATTATGACGTATACAGAACTGCTGCAATTGTATGCATTTTAATATATGCCGCAATGATCATATTACTGCATGCATATTTTGATTTAATAAACAATCATGTTGCATCTAAATGTGTATATTCTTGATTGGGTCATTGTTGTAGTCATACTGAGAAAGCTTTTCCCGCAGAAATTTGCTATCATACAGCTGGGAATCGCTCGAAGAAATCTCCGACAAGGATCATAAAATCTTTTACAAATCATCCGACAGACATTATAAAAGTATAAACAAACGATTATAAATTCTGTCAACAAAGATTGTAGTCGTCTTAGTTTAGCAAACTTTTCCGTATCGAGATGTCAAAATAAATTTAACGATTGAATAGCCTGTATTTACATTTTAAAATTATTTTTGGAATGACTTTTATAAGGTTTAATCCAACGATTAAAATAAGAAAATATCATAAGAATATAGAAAAAATAAACTTAATATTTATGGAAAATATTTGTGGCAAGACTTATAGGCAAATGATATAATGAAGTAAATGCGTGTAGATATTTAAGTACATTTTTATTGCACAAATTTAGAAAGGGCTTCAGTTTATGCTGAAATAATTTTACTAACATTTTGTATTGTAGTTTTTAAAAGTTAATTTTAAATGTATGATTTTGTGTTTTTTAAATTTATGATTTTATATTTTATATCTTGAACCCCTGGAATATTAATTTTTAAACAACTAGGCTAATCATAACTGCTTAAGTTATAATTGTTTTAAGAATTAAACTAGAAAAAACATTGAAAGTTCAAAGGTACATTTTAAAAAATATGAAAATAACAAAATTTAAGTTCCAGTGTTCTTTAAAGTTTATGATTTTTAAATAATTTATAAAAATTAATAATCTTAAGGCTCTGAATCTTTAAACAAATTCTCTTATAGAGGTGTTTCTAAAGCGAATTGACTGATATTCAAGCAACACATGTAAAAAAACACAAAAGCCGTATGCAGACACCCCGTTCACCAAAATTCGAACTTGGAATGAAGCTGTGTTCAGCGGTTTTGTCCACTCGGATATAAAGTGGAGGGACGTCGGAATGGAGTGGGATAGTTAATCGCGACAAAATGCACTAAAGATTACTGACGGAAAGGAAAGAACATTTTATAGTATCTTCTAATTCATAGTGCAGTGTTTCATAAAAAAATGATAATACACATAAAATTACGCAAATTTTGAAATTTTACCAGCGTAAATTTATACAAGTTTTCAATGCTGTCTATTATTATTATTATTCCTTCAAACAAAAAGAAATATTTGGTACAATAAACTAATTTTGTTATCTTTTTAATCAACAGGAAGACTATGGCATTTCCAAAAAAATGCCACCCCCACTATTGTCCATTCGACAGTCCTGCTTGTCCAGAGCAATGTTCAAGTCTTTGTCAAAGAATCAAACCCAACTGTGTGTCTGTTACAGCACAACAAGCTATGAATATGCCCGTAAGTTGGTATTTACATCTACTTCATTGATGAAACGTATGCATTTAAACGCAGCAGCAAGACAAGTAACAGAGTGCAAAATATGCCTTTCTTGCATGTCGGGTAGTACATACATGATAACAATAGTATAACACACGTTACATATTGATTAATTTACTACTATTACTTTGGACTACATTTAGTAAACACTATACAAGCCGCATGCAAGATCGCAGCAAATTTTCCAGCTTTGTATTATATCGTATTCCTTGCATACAACGTTGGCTCAACAAAGTTAATTCTTGCGTGGTACAATTCTGGTGACCAAAGATAAGATAACCCCATTGTTTGGATCTCTCAGAATGACATGCTCTTATATATATTCATAGTGAACTATGCTAATATATAACAGTACTTAAAATCTGTCGGTCAGAAGATTTTTTGAAAATTTAGTGGATTTTTGGGATTACATTTCCGCTATTATTAATGACGATATTTGGCATGAAATTCAATCATTATCACTCATTATCTATCATTCGATTATCTATCATTCGATCATCAAAAGTCATTATCACTAATTTTATCCAATATTTATGACCAATCATAAAGGCATTTACTATTCATACAAAATAGTTCATATATCTTTTGACTGAAGGAATCGGAATGAGAAACGATAACGGAACAATTTGTCATTAGGACTGGTAAATTATTTTAAATGATTTAAAATCTAATTTTCAGTTCTATTTATTAACAGTTTCTTTCAGAAGATTTCATTCGCTCAGTTTTCCCCAAAGCTATTTGAAAAGGAGTACTTACTTATACATATATAATTTTAGCGTAGAATATACTAATATATACTAATTTTTAGTACAATAGATATATCCATTATATTAAAATATCTAATTTTTAATGTAATGGATATATTTATTTTAAGAACGATTTTCTAGTACTTTCCAAATACGTATATAAGCATAAATATATAGTTTTGCTCAACTTGTGTGAATTTCCTGAATTTTACTTATGCTTAATTGAATCCGACATAATTCGGTTTCTTTTCATTTAAAATTATACAATATAGCACATTATGCCTAATTATTAAGAATATTCTTAAATCATTAAATAACGTGCATATATAATTAACACTTTTCAAATCAAATTTACCATTAAGAAGCAAAATTCCATAAATTCATTTTTTTAATCAATGACGAAAATAGAGAGAGAGTATGAGACTAACAAGAGTTAGAGAATTAATTGCAAAAAATATTATTCTCTCCGTCGTTTCCAATGCATAAATGAAAGTACTTAAATATAGCATTAAGTATAAATATGCACACTCTTAAAGAACTAAAGAAAAATGCAAACATTACAACTAGGTTGAAAAACAGTTGTTGAACTTGTAAATATATACATTATATTTACAAGTATATTCCATACATATAATTTTATGAGAATTTCTAAGAGCATATATAATTTGGTTTTTCCAGCCCTGAAATTCATTTTAAAGGATGAAAATTTATTTTAAGGTATATTTCGGAAATCTTAAATAATATTTATTGAAATGAAATATTAATTGCATTCTAGTAATTAAGTCACCAACTAATGTAATGAACTTTGTTTAATCAACCAATCGATGATCTTTCCCAATTACACTTAGTGAATAATAGTACACTTTTTTCATATAATTCATCATTTTTCGGTGAGAATATTAGGTGTTTTCGAAGCAAAACAGAGGAGAAAGCAATTGTGCTCCAACGTGCTCCAGGATTAATGATACGAATCCACCACGAATTTATTATCTGGATTCACTAATCTTTTAAACCAAGAAAGCACGTACAGGAGAAATGTAATACTACCTTACAAATCTATATCAATTTATTTAGCAAGTTAAATTATCGTACATTACATCAGGAAACTGGAAAAATCAAGTGGAATGCGAATGTTAATGTGAGCCCCATTATTTCAGGAATTTACGTGATTTTAGATACTTCAATGTGAAAGCCGCTGCCCCATCTATTCAGAAAAGTTAGCAAACTAAATAACCCAAGCTTAGTAAGCAAATCTCAAATTCTGTCAGAGTCTTATGTATTGATCACTTTAAAAAGGAAGTACTTAACATTTTATAAATTTTAGTAATCACGTCTACCGTTATTTTAATGAAAATATACAAATACCATTTACAGAATTTGCAAACTGTAAACAAACTTCTAACACAAAATAATCCAGAATTAGCTCTCACATTATTTCAGACTTCGTTCAACAGATCCCTTTCGTACCTATAATATCACACAAGTTAATGCTTGGATTTTTCGCAAACAAGAGATTGTCATTTAACCATTGTTTAGCATATTTTGCACTTGGAAAGTTAATAGTTACGTTTTTAAGATATTTTAAGGATTGTGAACTTGTATGCGGACTTTTCTTAATATTCAACTCAACATTAGACCGTTATTCAAAATCTGCTGAACGGTTGTTTGACAGCAATTGCCTCTCATCTTTGTAGGAGTTACAATTGGTTGTACGTAAATTTCATATAAAACTTGGTAGAAAATTAAGCCAGAAAATTAAATATATACTTTCAGGAACGTAAAATCCCAAGGTCTAAGAGTGGGATTCCAGAAATCGGCTGTAGTACCAGAGAGCGCATTTTTGGCATTCCCTATGATCCTAGAAAAGATTTCAGCATGCCTACTCCCAAAGACTGTGTGGATGAATATCTTCAAAAGAATTATCATGATATAACAGATAGAGTTTTGAAAGAATATGCCGAAGATACATGCTGCGCGACCGAATGCAATTGTTCACTGGGCTCTCGGTGCTTGTGTCAACAGCAAGATGCCCAGTGCAAACAATTAAATAATTAATAACATTGATTATATTTTTATTTTCAAATTATGTACCATTTTAAAAGTACTTTTTCATAGCTTCAAGTCTATATCATTACATAAAGAAATTTACTTCATGGAATTGTTTTGTACATTAGATGAAATAGCAGTCTATTTTGAAGAAACTTTTACTGTATAAATATATCTAAAATACCTTGCATCATTTCATATGCATGCTTTGTTTGTTAAGAAGAAATCATCTTACCACTAATTCCAATATAAATAAATAAAAAAAAAAAAAAAAAAAAAATCTGAAATGTTTCAGATTTTAAATTACGTCCAAAGGGGCGTTTTTTAACATTTTGTGTGTTACCTTTCTTTATTAAATATCATGTTCCTCGCACTTAAACCATAAGATCCAGTGCAACAGCAATATCGCAAAATAGTTTTAAAACGAGCATATCTTTAGAATTTCCGATACAGAGACTCACGCGCTGGAGATAAAAATGTTTTTTTCTGCACAACGTTGCCGTTGTTCGCTTTGAAATCCTTGAGTTTGTTAATCAAAAATTCGTCAAAGTTTTAAAAAATAGGAAATCGATCATAAAACAAATTTCAAATTTCAAATTTGGTCTTCCACATGCTCATATTCGTTGGAGGATTACGTTATTCAAAATTCGATGACTCTATGTACCGTTGTTTTATCACAATACGAGAAATATACATACATTTATGCAGATTTTTCATTATTTAATTTCTTCAAATATAATGCAGGACTCTAACATTTTGTAGCAACAGTTTGAAAAGTGAACCGACGTTTATGAGTCCGACGCAAAATCGCAAAACGAAAACAATAGTCCTTCAAGGGACAAATCCCTTTGGACTAATAAAAATGTACGGAAATGAAATACAGAGATACATCTAAACATTCTATACATCTAAATCACATTTGATTAAATAAATATTATCATATACAATTTCAGAATTTCGGAGCAAAGTTTTAACTTACAAAAATATAAATTTGAAGGAAGAAGCTGAATCTCTTATCTCTTTTGTTATTATGGTCTTGCTCTATTTCTTTTATCATTGACACAGAAAAAATATTCATCTGCAGTACTTACGCTATGAAGAATGTAGAGAAATGGATATGTGTTTATGAAACTAAAATAGTTGATGTTTTTATGTTTACTGCATAATAAGTCACTTTGATCTTACAGTGCTAGTAAGCAATAAGATGTAGCCTGATTCGACACGCTTACGTTACAGTACAATTTATATTAAGGTGACTTTGGCACTCTTTAGAACTCTTTAGACACACAACGGAAAGGTATCTCCATATTAGTTGACTGACGGTCATTAAACTGGCTGAAGTTTTAAAGTCATTCAGTTATACCCAGCTTAGGAAGCAAATAATAGATTCATACAGTTTGTCAAACATTTAATGCCTAAGAAGTAGGGTCTGCATAATGTAATTATAAATATTACAACACGCAAAATTACTTTATGACTTTAGACAAAATATGCTAATAAAGCTTTTAAAACTACATTGGATATTCTAAACATATGCTGCTATGCTGCTTTTAATTTTTTTTCAATTTTGCCGTTGAATTGCATATGGCGCAATGCGATGCTGCTTAGTAATAAAGCTAAAGAGACAACAAGAGTGACTGCAATAGCAGACTCGTAGACTGCAAACTCAACGAGAGCATTAAAAAACCTTAAAAAATCCTTTTGGACTATCGTTAAAATCTGAATCCTTTCAGATTTTACATTTTGTATTTTTTGTTTCTTTTTTGTTTGTTTGCTTTACTACAACAGTACTTGCATGATCATTCACCATTCCAAACTTTGCATTCATGTTGGAAGAATATGTTTATACAGACAAATCTGATGTTCGTTAAAATTTTAATTGCACTTGAAAGGGAAAAACAGTTAAGTTTTCCTTTTAATTACAAATAAACTTACTTCGACTATAATATAGTAAATTAATTTCATTACAGTATACCAGATAAAATCCCACATTTCAAGATAATTTTACAAACATACCAATAAATTAACTGCATTCAGTCGCTTAGCATTTTGACATACTTCATTTTACATTTTATCATGTAAAATATTCCGAGTTGTTTGAAGTCTCCTGCAAAATATCTCTACTCAGCAACTTAAATAAGTCTTGAAAGAAAGATCTAGTAAGATATTAGGTGGCCTTTCCTTCGAAACACGGGAACAACTATATAATTCCTTCACTTCAGTCGCACCGTGTGATAAATAATGATTGTGCTGTCAGGCAGTAGCTCCAGAGTTTAGTTTTCGTACCTTTATCTCTTCATAACCATCAAAGAACATGATTTTCCGAGAAAAAAAGAAAGGACTATTTTATTCTCCTCGGTTCTGTAATGTTAGATGTATTATTTATATACTTAGGTACTTCTGTTCTGTTATGGCGTTTATGTGACTATTTCCGCCAGAACTGAAATAATATCTTGAAAACTTTAATAAAATACAATTAATTTGTGATGTATAATTTTAAATCTTAGAATTTTACAATATTTTTTCGAGATTAATAGACAGTTTCTCTGTACTAGTTATACGTGCAGATAATATATTCATATATCTTCCTTCTGGGATGAAATACAGCAGCCAGCTCATTTATAATTTTCCGAACATAATTGGATATATTCAGTGCTTGAAAACAGTACTTAATTTAATTCATTCAGTTAAATTTAATATACGCCTTATATATAAAATGTATATATAAACATAGAAAACATATAAATCAAAATTATAGTTTAAACTAGAGATAGCTCCTTTACTCTCTGTCTTTATTCTAAAACTAATAATGCCTTTTTCTGCGTTATTTATAAATTAATCCATATGATACAACTTGCGTAACGCTGATGACGTAGTTAATTCGGAATTTTGAAAAAGTTTGAGAACTGAAACCTTTCTATTAATATGCTGCCATATTTGATAACTGCTCATTTTTTACTTTTACCTTTCTTCCAGTTGAGACGCTACCCCTTAGCTCTCTTCCTATAGCAACCAAATAAGAGTTGAATTTGCCCTTTATTCCAACTCAAATAAATGAACATTCGGCCCCCTCTCGGGCTTAGAATAAGCCTCCCATTGTGCTTTAACTCAAGACAGAAATTAAGAAACTAATCTAATACTAACTGCATTAAAACCAGCCGAAGTAACTAACAGAGTTGGCCCTTAATTAAGATCACTGGACAAATCTAGCGGCACGTAACAATACGGCCAAATAGCAGTAAGATTAGACCAGCAGCAACAACGTGGTCGGAAGGCGGACACTCGCTTCTACGCTATTCTAAGTGACCAGACTTCAACTTAAATACTTGTTTCTGCCCCATTTATATAAAGCGTAATCCTGAAAATTCATTCTGGTAGGGAGACTTAGGTGGAAAATGGGAAAGTAAAGGAAAGGCTTGTTCCAAAATAAAAATAGCTATTAGAAAATTAAAATAAAACCTACAAAACTTTAAATATAAAAACGGAGAATTTGAATTTGTTACAATGCGATGGTTAGAAAAAGGAAGAAAGAAAGAATGTGCATGTGTATTTTACGTCAAAACGTTATCGAATAAGCTATTCTAAATCCCTTTCAAGGATTTCTTTTACGCTTCAAAGCATTTTCCTCTTTTTAAATAGAATTCTGATTGGCGCAACTTAAATTCTTCGAGCAGCTTTTATACTTGCTTTTTTTCCCATTATACGACGTCGTCTGAAATTTTAAGTACATTTATTAACGATCGTGAATAATTTGCTTGAGAAATATTTAACATGACACAGTCAGCATTACAGATAATTTTAGTAGCCGCTGATGATATGTGCTTTTTTTATCTTTGACATCCAGTGTAATTTTGAGCTCGAATATTTTAATCTGCGAGAATAATATAATGCATAATTAATGGCTACTTTTTTATTTAACCAACATGTAATAGTTGCAGTATATAACTGGTGTTTTAACTGGTTTTTAATTAAAGTTTACATAAGCTATTTGCCATCTCAACACCTTTATTTAAATTATTCTAAATAATATAAGTGATAGTTATAAAAATGCATATACAAATGCATTATAAGCGCAGGTGTTCCGGAAATATTTAATGAAATGACGAGTTAATAAGTGATCAGTGATGGAGGACAGAGACAAGTTGCAAACAGAGATAAACAGGTATTTGTTTCTCGCAGTTCATTTGTCTAGAAAAGAAGAAATATAGTACTTAGGAAAAGAATTATACAGATTGATTTATTATGTCTGCAATAGTTTTCATGCTTAATTTGGGATTTAGGGAGCAATTTTTGTTAGCAGAATAGTTCTGTACTGTACCAGTGGCATATTTGAATTTTAAAACGCAAAAGTCAAAATTGTGGGTTTAAGACTTGCTTTTATAAGCAAACATGGATATACGAGTAAATCATTATAAAATGTTTGCCGAAAAAACTAAAAACATACTTGTCACCTTATGAAATTGGTTTGCATAATTTAGGAAAACTTTAAAAAAGTAAATATAATGGCTTCAAAACAGAAACCACTTTGCTATTATGTGTTTAGCAGTTACATAATCGCATAGCAATAGATTTTTTACTTCAGCCAGTTGAACCAGCAAATATTTATTACTAAAAATAGATGGCAGCTCCAAAATTCATATTTCGTAATGGGTAAGGTGTTGATTATCATCCAAAAGAGCAAAGAAATAAGCAATAGAGCTCATTATTATTCATGACTTGAAGCTTATGTAACACTTTCTGCTTCAGCTTAGAGTGTTCGTTACCCTTGCAATAAATGAAGGAGCTACTGCTCGACTACCAAAAGTATAGTCAAACAAGTTTACTTAAGTTAGTCATGTTTTTAATTATGTTTTTACTAGTTAAGATTTGGATTTGCTTCTGATCATTAATTAATGACTATTGGTACTCATAAACTTGCGCAAGAAACCAATTTTGAATTGAAAATATTCTTAAAACTTCGGAACATTTCTAAATATTTCGTCTTTAGCAAATTAAGGATACGTGGGCTGTCGTCGTCCTTATAGCAGCCTGTGCCCCAGATAATTACTTTTATAAGAATCACACTTAAAAGGTTTAGTGATTTTCGTTTCAATTAAGTGTTTATCCATAAAAAGGCAACTAATGCACTT